GAAATATTCACAGACGGCTCGAGAGTGGATAACCACGTTGGAGCTGCTTTTATGGCAATGCAGAATGACGCTGAAATTCATACTGAACAATATAGATTAATGGACTCATGCTCGGTTTTTCAAGCTGAGCTCTATGCTATCGAAAGAGCAATTATGTGGGTAACAAGAACCCATGTGTCTGATCAAATCATAATAAATACAGATAGCAGATCTGCTTTAGATACTCTACAACAATTTGCTGATACTAATGCAACAGCTTTAAATATTAAACAAATAATAAATCAAAGTGGAATTAACATCAAAATGAAATGGATAAAGGCCCATAGTGGCATATTTGGGAACGAGAGAGCGGACCTCCTAGCTAAGGAGGCGGCACACATGACTGACGTGACTCAAGGCAGGATCCCCATTTCGGGGATAAAGAGACTACTCAGAGACGAAACCATTGCAGAGTGGCAAGACAGATGGTCATACTCTCAGAAAGGAAGACACATGTTTTGGTTAATACCAAGCGTGGAAGAACGAGTCAAAGAACTCAATTGGCTCCCTATGGATCACATCAATTGTCAACTATATACAGGCCACGGGAATTGCTACTCATACTTAAAGAAAATCGGTAAAAGGCAATCAGAAGTATGCGATTGTGGTAGCGGCATTCAAGACATAAGTCATCTATTACTTAACTGTTACAAGTATGATAAAGAAAGGACAGAAATTCTAAGTCTTCATCATTTAAACACTGGAAATAATGACCTACAACTCTATAACCTCATCAGAGATAAGTGCCTCAAACATGACCTCAGGACCTTCGTGAGAAGGACACTTTTGTAAAGGTGATGGAGAAAGTCCTCTTCACCACCTATTGACCGGAAAGCTTCCGGCACATGCTTGTCAAGTTAGACAAGCAGGCTGTACAGTGTTATTTATGTATTTTATAACTTTTTACTCTATGTACTTAATGTCAATTTGTAATAATGTTAATTTTAATAAACGAAACGTCCTCCTTGTGATGTGAAAACGGGACAAGGATGATTCTGATCCCCGAAAGGGGAAATGATGACCATCAAATGAAAAAAAAAAAAAAAAAAAAAAATGAATATGGATGAATATGGATGAATATGGATATGGCATCATGTTGCTTTTCAGATGAAGCCCAGTTCTGCATACAGCATCATGATGGCCATATTTGTGTGAAAGCACCGAGGGAAACAATCATTGCCAGTTTGCACTCATCATTGTCATATGGGCCCAGGACCTAATGTGATGATACAGGTTGCCATTTGGTACACATCCTTGTCACTTCTTGTTTGCATAGCTATTAATTTAGACAGTCACCATTACATTTCTGATGTGTTAAAGGCCTGTTGTTATGCCCTATCTTTGAGGTCTCTGTCATGCTATCTTTCAACAGGAATGCACAACCACATGTTGCCCATGCTGTCCTGACCGTCCTGAATACAAAGGATGTTCAACTGTTGCCCTGGCCAACATGTTCTCCAGATGTCACCAATTAAGAATGTCTGGTCAATGGTTGCTGAGAAACTGGCATGGGACCACTTACCAGCCAGTACGATAGATAAACTCTGGTATAGAGTTGAAGCTGCATGGACTTCTGTACCCATACCTGTCATCCACACTCTGACTCGATACCCAGCCAGATTACAGCTGTTATTGCTGCCAGGGGCAGCTGCTCTTGGTACTGATTTCTGCATAATTTGTATCTCAAAATTATCTCTGAATTTAATCATATCTTCCTCCCATTATACTGTATGTGCACAATAAATATGATTCTGCTATTTGCTTTCCCTCCTGGTATAGCACTTTTAATGGGCAGCAGTGTATATTGAAAAAGAAACTTTGCTTGAAACTTTCCATATATTGTGTTATTCAACAATGCTGCTTATTAATGATATGTTATGTATAATATTTTAAATTTTGACGTTATTTTTAATCTTATTAAATAATGTACTTACTGTATCCTTGCAACCACTTTCAACTCCATAGTATTTATAATTAAGTAAATTTAAAATTGTTGTGTCAATCTGAAGATCTTTCATACAGCCTAAATAATTCTGAAAAGTAACTCTTGACCACCTGTATATTAAAAACAAATAAAAAATTTTATATTATTTGCATGCTAATAACTAGATATGGATAAAATCAAAAATGTTTAAAAAAATACAGTTTGTTATATTAATTAGATATTTGTAGATAGTATTTTTTAAATACTGTAATAATGTGATTTAACCTAAATGCTAATATTATAAATTTAAAACATATTTTTGAATTAAACACAATTAAATATGTTTACATTGTTTAAAAATTACTTCATAAATTTATATCAGTTAACAAAAAAAATAAAACTTTAAATTATAATTTTTCTTCATGACAATTAATTTTTATGAATTGAATTGGTTAATTCTTAGTTAAACAACTTATTTGTCAATTTAAAAAATTATTAATTGAGATGCTAATATAATGATAATAATTTTAAAAAATGAAGCCTTTCTTTTTCTTTCTATTTTGTTTTTTTTTAATTCCATACTTAAAATTTTGATATTAATTTACTTTAATTAGGTTGCAAGTTAAAAAAAATTATAGACCTATAAATTCCCACTGATGTCTGTCTGTCGGTCTATCAGTCTTTCCTTAATCTCGAGAATGGAATTAGATAGATAAAATCCAAGAACAGATATAGAAACCTTTAGGGCAGGAGACCCTGATTCATTACATATGAACTTCCAGTTTGCACCAAAAGTTACATTATTTCAATTCAAAACTTTTCCCCTGAAAGAAATTAATAGATGATTTGGACAACTCTATTGTTAAAGGAAAAGTATGATATACAGGGGCACGATACTACTAACTTGCAATAGAGAGAGCATATATTTTAAACAAAATAAATTAAAAATAGGATTAAAAATTGCAGCCCAACATTGTGACAATCTCACAATAAATAATCACTTCTTATTCTTATAGTATTCTGAAAACAATAATTTTTCTTAAAGATGAGAAATTTAAATATATATATATATAAATTTTTTTAAAGTAATAATATTCATTTCATTAAAACAATTTTATGATGCAGGTCAGTTAATATAAATTTATTATGATGAAATTTAAATCATTTAATGATTAAAATCAATCTTTAAAAACATTCAATAAATGAAATCTGATGTGAAATGAGTACAAAAGAAATTTAGATCAGTAGGAAGACATTATGACTAGTTATATTTTTCAAATACTAGGATTGTTATTACTGATATAACCAGAATATAACATAAATTTTGGAAACAAACTTTTATTTGAAATGTTTAATATCATTTTTCTATCTTCGCAAATAAATTATTTTGTGACATATTTGATGATTATATGCTGAGATTCAACATAGTTTCAATTCTGTTTGATCACTACTACCATTGATTTCTGAATCTGTATAACTATCAATATATAAACTAACATAAATAAACATCTCAAACGTTTAATAATAAGCCAAATGATTGCAGTACTTTAATTTGACTATTTTACCATTTTAAATTCTGAGTAATTTGGTAGTACCTCTACTACCAAATTACTATTAGTATGTAAGTTAGGTTAAGGTAGTTTAAGTTAGTAGTAATATTGTGGAGATATCTCTCAAAGTAAACCTTGTGTTGTCGTGAACACGTGTCTCCCGCCTTTGTAAATATAAAGAATATATCGGGCTGTGTTGAAAATATATGGTTAACATAGTTTGGAATCCAAAAGAACCAGGTGTAAGAAGGACTATGTGAAAAGTAACTAAATAAAACCCTGTTTTTCATTGTTACTACTTTGTAATCCATTATTTGTCTTCTACACCACCACAGTATCGTAATTGTAAAATTCTTTGATCCATCTGCTTGACTATAGATGCCGTAATTATAATTATTCTTTTTTCATATTAATATCACTGTCCAACAAAATCATATTACAGGACAGAGATTTTAATTCTCATTTTAATCAAATGAAAAATAAAGTCTCTGATGAATAAATTAAATCTAGCAATACAGTATTTCAAAGGAAAAACAATTGTCATTTTTTTTACTTTGAAATACTGTATTGCTAAATTTAATTTATTAGGGCAATGACAATAACAATTATTTTCCTATGAAATGCTATCTGACTTATGCTAAATAGTATCAAAAGATCAAAACAGTCAAATTCTTACAAAATCAGCATATTTGACAATGATACAAAAAGTGAATGTCAAAAATCAAAATGACTCCAAAGTTACCAGAAGAATACATATGTACATAGATATGACATTGTATCTATCATAGAAATAGGAAAATTAATTGTGCCTGTTTTAGAAGGTAATGTGGTTAAATATTACATTCACACTGAAGAAATATTTCAGACATTTCATGATGTCCATATTGTTAGTGGCAATGGTGGCAGAAAGTGCACAGAAAAAGAATTAAGTAGAAAATATAAAAATATTACAATGGAGATGATCATAATTTACTTGAACTTATGTGAAATCTGTCAGAAAAAAGCAGAATGTTCCTTTCACATGAAAAACATCTAACATGCTGATGTCCAAAAACCAGGATGTTATTGGTACTATAGAGTCAGTAAATGACAATAAAAAAAACGGTTGATTCAAAACTAAAAGAAAGAAAAAAAGTGAGTCTAAGACAAAGGAAATGGCCTTGTCTAATTGTAAAAAGGACAGCTAATGTTGGTGACACAGTAAGGATTTGTGTACCAGATGTACATGGAACCTGCAGTAATAGAAAAAATATTTCAGGTATCGTTATGTGTGAGGTCCTGGACAGCTCTGAACTGTCACAAAATTCATAAAAATCAATCAATTTATAGAAAATTTAATTGTTTTAGAAAGGTTATAAAAAAATGTTTGTAGTCAGATACCCTTTTGTTTATATCAAACTATGACACAGAATCATAAATCATAGAAAGAATGTTGTCCTATGATCAGTGGGAGATCGAATTCAGCTTTGATTTTGACCTCTCCAGCATTCTAGCTTGGAGTCCCATTACACTTAGTAATGAGGGACCAGCCATTTGAAAAGCGTGACTGGAGGAGACCAACCAATCAGAATGGGCAAAAGAAAGAACAGAGATTGATATAATCCCCAACAATCAAGGACACATTGCACTTGGTTAGTTAACATTCCAAATAACCAAGACGCTGTGTTTCAATGCACAAAAGGAAGTTTTTCGTCAATTGTGCCAACCTGTAACCCATGCCACTACAGACTTAGACCATGTCACCGACACCAACTGATGGAGTCTCCCCATCTGCCTTATGGATTTGTCAATGCCACTGCCCTGGGGCCACCTTCGATCAGCGATCAAAGAAACAACATTGATGCCCAGGATGTCTGAACAACCAATTGTTCTAGAACAAAGTTTTTTGTATATTGTAAGTCACTCTTACATTAAAATAAATGGTTTTATATTAGACACTTGTTATCACTGTTTCCTCCACCACCACCCACCGCAAACAGCCCTTAGGTTCATCTTCATATGGGATAAGCAGAATTCCCCTTAAAAGCTTACAGTTGCAGCTGAAGATAAAAACCTTAACAAACTGGGTGTCAAACATGGCATATTAAATCTATTTTATTCCAGAAACCAATTTACTGCTTGTGAAGAAAACTTAATTTCTGTTGGAGATATACCAAGTGCAGAAATTTTGCTTAGAGAATGTGCAAGAATGTCATAACTTTCTGGAGGCCAAGGCTATAGTTAATGCTGCTGCAAAATTGGTTGCAAATCTAATAGATACAAATACTATAAAGAAAAAAAAATTATGTAATTCCAAATGTCATTAAAATCTTAATTGCTTGAATAAATAAATTTAAAAAATATTTAATTTTTTATATAAAAACTGACATTCTAGAAATTTCCTTTAAGTTGGTTTTTTTGATTGAAGTATAAATTTGTTAATAATACTTTTTGTCTGGTCAATTGAATAAATTAATCAATATTTATCAGACTGCTTAACCCTTTTAGTCATTATTCATAATGCCTTATTAATCACTTTGTCCATAACATATATATGGATATATTACATAAACTACTACTAGTTTATGTAATATATATTTAAACTAGAAGTAGTAATATACTTTGTGCAAAGCATATTACTATTTCTATCTAAAATCAAATACAAACCTTCTTACATAAATTATAAAACATTCATTTATGACTTTATGAAAAAACACAAAAACAAAGTACTGTATATTGTTCTATTTCTACATTATTAACTGACAAGTAATAATGTAATGACACAAAATTTATTTAAAAGTTACTTATATGCTTAAAATGAAATCATAATAATTCATACTTATTATTTCCAAATCCAGGTGTTACTCCACCAAAATATAACAAACTCTTGCTCAATTCTAAACTAATGGGTCCTCTCTCTGGTAGTTTCCCCTCTTGAAGTTCATCATCTACAGATAACTGTCCTAATAATAATAATAATAATAATTAATACATATAATTTAAATATGGCTATTACATTTAATTATAAATATTAAAGTAGCGGTAATATAGCTCCTTATTGTACATTTCTATTTGACAAAAAAAAATTATTATTCTGTAAAAAATTTAGTAATAATAATAGTAATATTAAATTAAGCTAAAAATTCAAAAGTACCAATATTCATAACTTTTGCTAGATTCAAATCAGACTGAAATAATTCATATTATTTTTTCAATCTTTCATCTGAATGTTTGCACTGATACACTATCAAAAATAAAATTCATACAAATATTTGTATTTATTGTGTTTTATACAATAAACATATTACAGATATGAATGCAAACACAACTGTTGAACAAAAAATACCAATGTTTCTGCTAGGTTCACCATCTGACCAAAATGTCCCAAATAAATCTATCTTATTTTTCCCATAAAATTGGAATATGTAATAAAAAAAATGAGGGGTTTCTATTGGAAAATATGAAGTTGATGTTTGTTTCAACAATAGTAATGCCTATGTAACAACTATGAGGAAACTACTACTGCCATCTTTAGTCCCTCATTGATGCAGAACATTTTTATTGTAAGATGCATGTTTTTTAGATATTTTGGATGGCTAAATAGTGAATATTCTCTTTTATCCTTACATAATTAATATAGTATTATTATTGGCAATAGATATGTAATACTTATCAGCTCAATTGTTTTTTTCATATATAAGAATACTATTTTGTATTTCAAATATGTTGATATTTCAACTTTCTTGAAGGCACAGAAGTCAGTTCACCTAGGGTGCCAAATTTGCTTGTGCCAGCCCTATGTATACCCCACCCCACACCTATGTAGGGATGTCCTGATACCACAAAAGTCATTATTCTGGTATCATGATTAGTTTTAAAGTATCAATACTGGTATTAGTATTGGTATTGGTCTTAAAGAATCAATACTGGACAGTATCAGCATCAGGTATTGATACTGGAAATCTTGCCATGACCAGTTTGTTGTGTTGCCTTCCAGTTGCTTTTACTGATGAGAAGGTACTATACTCATTATAATGAAGGTCGCATGAGCCCCACAACAGCAATTAGTATTTTGTTGATTAATCCAAGGAATTGAATCCTGACTGACTGATTCAGAAGTCAGTGTTTCAGTTAACACTTCAGTTTACACTCATATGATGTCTTATGTACACAAAAGAAGTCCCAGATCTAGTCCTGCTAATGGGTTCTGTGGGTACTACTATACATGGGATAGGGGTGAATAAGAAATTGTTGGTGAAGAGGTAAAACAGTGTCTTTACATTGAAAGTCATTTATTGTGTTCAAATTTTACAAATGTCAATACAAACAAATATATACAAATTATAGCTCATTTTAAACATCACTGATCATCCAAGTCAATTAACAAACATAAGTACTGCATAATGTTTAACTAAATATGTATTTATAAACAGTAATCAGAACTCTAAGCAAAAATAGATTCTGGAAATGAAATTTGACTTAATACATTTATTGATTTTTGGTCATTAATATTTTTTAATATAAATTTAACTTATCTGAAAATAGTGTAACATTCCATTTCAATTTTTGATTTGGCTGCAAAATCCAGTTTTGGTCAGATCCTAACTTTCTGTGAAAAATGTAACGATACCAGATCCAATACCTGAGGATAAGTATCAATACAGGTATTGGTATTGAATCAAAAGTGTCAAGTACATGGTGTCGAAGGAAAGTATTGATAAGGTATCAGTATTGGAATGTCCCTACTAAGCCAGTGATCTAGATATGCAATTAGCAAGGTATCCATTACACTCAAAATTGTGTATGGAATGTACATATATTGATACTGTTGTTGCTAACAATTACAGGGTAGGGCAGAAAGGATGGATGTTTTTGAAATGGCTAGAACTCACCACCAGGTGGAATGACAGATGTGTGGCAGGTAGCGTGAAAGTAGTGAGGTCTTAGCATTGTCTTTTCAGTTGAAGGCATAGAGCTGTGTACGATAGAACACTGTGTGTTTGTGTATGACTGAAGAAACAGTCGTATAAAAAGAGGACGGCTCAGTTGTACACATCTGATGGGAATAAGTTTCTGCATCCTTGCATACAAAGTTATTCACATGGAAGTCATCAAAATTGCCTCCAGAAATGTATAACTGATAATGTACACCACATGGGAGATGTTGTTTTCCACACTTAATTCTGTAAAGAATTAAGTGTGGAAAACAACATCTCCCATGTGGAAGTAAGTGTGGAAGTAAGGTTTTCCACACTTAATTCTTTACAGAATTAAGTGTGGAAAACCAATACGAATTCACATCTTCCAACAAATATCTTTTGTAGTAACAATTACAGTTGTTATGATTTTTTTTTAAATGTCTGTCCTTTCTGTCTCACCCTGTATATCCAAATCAGATCAACATGCCATTGTCCTATTTTTGGCTGCAGGAAAACAGAAACCATTTGACATTCATTACAGAATGATGAAGAGTATGGGAATGCATTCCTGTCAAACCATTATTCTGAAATGGTGCATGAAATTCCATGAAGATCACAACAATACACACTCCCATGTTGACAAAGTCATCATGCAGAATTTGGATCCCTTAAATGGGAGGCACTTGGAGAATCCACCAGATCTCTCATCATATGATTTTTAAGCCTTTGATTCTTTGAAAAAATCTCTGAAAGGGTGAATCTCCCAATCAGATGATGATGTGAAGAGGGTGGTATCAGATTTTTTATTCAGCAGCTTACCAATTAACCCAGTTTATCAAAGAAACAATTGTTTTAACAACAATAAATTTCTTCTAAATGGAATGAACCTATCAGGCCCTACAACCCTCAAATTTTTTATTATGCTTTATATAATATACTTAACAATAATGATTAATAATATATTCTGAACAATCAATAAATTTATTTATTTATTTTTTTTATTATGTTTTAAAAAAAGTATTATATATGTATAAATAGTTATATATGTAATTTTCATTATATATATATATAAATAGTTATAATGATATTTTATTACACTTATCAGACCTTCTGCATATGGCATTATAATACTGCTTACTAAGAATTTGAAGTTTGTTTTGCAAAAAAATATACATTGCAATGTATTTTTTAATCTTTTTTTAATTCTAACATACTGGATTTTTCATCATAAAGTAGTTTAAAAAGTAATTTGTTTTATTTCAACTATTTAATACATGTTTTGTTAACAAATATTTATATATTATTTTTAAAACTAATAACGTTTAAACTATACTTCATTGTTTTATCACAAAATTATAATTCTATTTACAATAAAGAAATACAGAAAACAGAAATAAACACTAGTTTCATTTTTGAGCCAATCATAACAAATCAATGAATCCTGCTTCTAATCTGTTATTATTTTTCATAAAAGGTGCACAATCTAGTAAGTGCAAATGTATAAGTTATTATTATTATTTTGCTTTTTTTTGTATGACTTTTCATTGTCTTGATCTGATCAGCCCAAGCTTATACATACCTTGTAACATATCTCTTCCTGCAGTCAACTTTGACCAATTTCCATTATTGTACTTTTTTTGAGTTTTTAAGACTAAGCGTGAAGTATTTCCTAAATCAAACTGATAAACTACATGTCCTTCTTGTAGTTCTAAGGAAACAAAATGTCCCTAAAATGCAAATATGATCAATTAAATAAGTATAAATTTTGAATACAAACATGTAAATATACATACAGTATATAAAAAGTGCCTTTATATTGAAGTTAAAGTAGTCTTCCAACATATATTTACAATAAATTTATGTTAAAGAATATTTATTTTATCATAAATTTAATTTACCCTAACCTTAATTTAAAAAGTTAGAATATGATAAATTTACAAGATTTATTGGATTTTAATTAAATATTGTAGTTTATAAAACAATTAAATTGTTAACCACATAACTTATCAAAAATTTTGATATTACTAAAAATTAAGATTTTTTTTCATTTAACTTGATATGATTAATTTTTATCAGCATAAAATTACTGAAATATTCATTATTATTATAAAAATAATAAAATGTAGAAGGGAATTTAGCAAATGATTTTCTCAAAACTGAAATGTTTTACTATTTTTAATTTATTAATAAATACAGTAGATTCTTGTTAGTGTAACTATCAATTAAAATCACAAGTTTTTGATGCATGCAAAAATCTATACAGTTTCAGAGTACACTGAATTCCGCTTAAGGAAATCTATCAACTTTTTCTCTAGTTCGAACTATTTTATGTAGTGTACTAAACAATAATGGTTAACATCAACATCCCTTCCACTTAGCCAAAATTATTAATAATCTTTTCAGAAAGTTTCAACAAAATATAAGAAAATTTAGCTGATTTCTATATTCAAACTTTCAGAATTTATTTAGGAGGTAAAAAAAGTTCCATCTGACAGAATGCATATTATATGAAAGTACTGTGTATTCTTCAATCTGACTTGGCTTACAGAATGGCTCCATTAACAAACATTTAAAGTATTAAACTTGCACTTAAAATAAAAAAAGGCAAAACAAGTGTTGAAAAGTGTTGTTTTCAAAACTTTTTAGTTCCATTTTCAGCTCTTTTTTTTTGTGTGATTATGACAAATTTCTTGAAAATTTTAGAGAAGGAAATAACATCTTGTTCTAAATGTAGATGTTCTTTAACCTATAAAATATTTTACTAGGGAAAATATTTCAAAATCTAAATTTTTAACTCCATTATTATATGGTTTTAAAATGCTTTGTTTCAATCAATTTCCCAACTAAATAACATTATATAAGCAAATATAATTTTCTAATTATAAAAAACTTAGTTTTGACTAAACAAATTTAAAAATTAGGAATGGTATCATGGCAATTTAGTTTAGTTCATTATATTATCATTAAATTCATTCTATTCTAAATCTATGGTTCTTAAATTGTAACTGTTTTTGTTTGCTACACTGAAAATTAAAACAAAAAACTAAAGACAAACAGATTTAACTAAGTTTTTTAAAACATAAACAGCTACAGAATTTTATTATAGAATTATAAAAGTTAATTATATAAAGTTGGTTCAATATATTAATGTTAAAATTTTCTTAAAATAAAAAAAAATTATACTTACAGTTACATTATCAGACATAAAAAATAGCAGTGCATCTTCATCATATGTTTTAAATTGTAAAGTCACAAGAAATGTATAGATATTGTATCGACGAATTTGAGGTAATATGGCATAACCATTTCCTTCAAATCGATATGCATTTACATCAGCTTGATCAATTATTCTAAATTAAATAATATATTTTTTTATTAATATGGATTAAATATACTTATTACATAACATTTACTACTGTTTCCATTATTTCAGACAAAGAATATATATTGAGTGAGTGAAAAACTTCTACACATTCTTCAAATAAAACTTGTAATATAGTGTTTATTCATTTAAGCAATTACATTTGTTCCATTATTTAATATAACCTGTCTCTTCCTCTCTGGAAATTTGTGGATTCTGTTATATTATACTATACTATATCCATTAATCAAAAAATTTTATCAGTCTCTGTTTAAATATTCTAAAATTTTTAAACAATTTTTTATTGAAAGAATTTTTCTACGATCAGAAAATGTAAAAATTGGAATAGGCTAAATCTGGACAATATAGCAGATTTTGCAAAATGTCCCACTGAAACTTTTACAAGTTTTGTTGAGTTGCAATTGCCATAAATTAAAGCATTATTGTGATGAAATGTTTATGCTCTTCTAATTTACTAAAGTTAAAACCAATTTGTAGTGTCTGTGCTTCCTTCAATATGTCCAATAGATGAGAATAAAGATTAGTATTAATCATTAAAATTGAATGATGACATTATATCATGAATGATGATATATTATATACTATTTCTCTGTAATCCTATATCCCACAAATACACACATACAAACAAAGCTTCTTGATGAAAGTTTGAGTGTTTCTACTTAATTACAATGGTGGTATCATCAACAACATCAATCATCATATTTTGCACTTAATTCACCTTTCATTATCAGAGGTCAATCAACCTAGGAAATGTTCATTCAATATTTAAATTTATACTTTCCTTCTGTCAATGAGATTTTTCTGACATATAAAAAAACCCAAACATTAATCTTTAAAATGAGTCCTAATTTTCAGATAGATGTTCTGTAAATTCCTAATAATTAAAAAAATTTCTTCTGTAGTTTATGAGAGATTTGCTTCTACAGTAGTGTATAATTAATCATCACTTGTTAAAAGAAAAACAACAACAACTATAAAATTTTGTTTAAGTCTCTTGGCAATACTACATGAAGATCACATAGTTGAGGCAAATCATGACATACTGTTAATAAAAAATGTAAAAAAAAATTGCTGTTCTGTCTGTCCCTTAAAACTTTAACATCATTTACTTCAGATGATTTTTCAGACTTAGGTTGATCTTTAAATAAAATATGCCTTTCAAAGATAATTTCAAAATTTTGCAAACTGTCTTTGAAAAGTATGATAATCAATGCCTAACTCTTCATATTTGTGTATATATCAGGGCTGTGGAACAGTGGCATGCAGTGATATTTGATGATAGGGAAGCTGTACCAGCCATGGATAGAATCACTGGAAGTGTTATATGATATTTTGATGTGTAGCATCCAAGAGCTAAACCATGTGAGGTAGGTGCTCTGTAAAGCACATGCATGAATGCATATAATCTGGCTGCTTTACACAATTCAAATATTTTTGCCATGGAAGCTATTCCATATTTGACAATATGGTGCTTCCATTGGGAATATGCATATATGAATATATATTTGAATATACAATAGCAATTTTATCATTTTTTCACATGTAGTATAGAAATTTGTAATAAGATAAATAATGCAGTTATAATAAAATATTAATTTAAATTAATTCAAACTATGTTAAAATATAAAAATAATCACACAATATGTATTTATATTTTAACATACTTTGAATTAATTAAAATTAAGATACATAATGCAGTTATAATAAAATATTAATTTAAATTAATTCAAACTATGTTAAAATATAAAAATAATCACACAATATGTATTTATATTTTAGAAAATACAAGGGAAGCTGTGCTTCCATGAATGGTATGCCACTGCTGTGGAATCAGTCATGCAGACAGAAACAAATTTGTCACGAGATGAGTTAGAGTCAGTAAAAATAAACCAACTCAGACTCCTGTTCTTTTTATTATGTATTTTATATTACATTATTCCTAATAAAAGTATTAACCTCCTAACTTTCATTATAGAAACCTCTTATATTATAGGACATATACAAGAACTTATTTTATGATAATTGTCCTACATCACGATCTTTCTTTGTAACTTATATCACTAATTATTGTTGATTTTCTTTTCAGAAATTTATATTCAAATCCATTCTGAGTTAATTAATTCTAAATTTTTATTGTTAAAAGACCCATATAAAATGGCTAAGACAATTCAGGCTAAATCTACTGTTTTTGAATACTTTACTATGATCATAGATGGAAAATATTTTATGTATCAATGTGTGGTTAAAGAAAAAAATAATAATGTTGATAATGAAAATAACTATAAAAAAAAAGATAATTACTTTCAGTTTCAATAAGAATATCTGATGATTTACTTAAAAAATTCTTAAAAAGTAACCTGATGATTCACTTGGTAGTGATGAAATGCCATTCTGGGTTAACATATTTTAAATTATTATTTAGAGTCAAAGTCAGATTCAAAATTCTGAGTTCAAGTCAGAATCATGCTTCGTCTTCAGCCCTGGTATCAGTTTCATCAGATGTGGCACTACAATTAGTAAAAATTGGATCAAGTTCATTTTCTTTAATGGAAAAACCCTTTTTTTATTGCATATTCTCATTCTATACCAAAAATAAACAAGCTTTTACTAAAACATTTTTTCAAATAATGCACTTATCTGAAGTTAAAACTTAAAAGCATTTGAAGTTTTAAGCAGCCACATGTGATGCAAGTAAGAATCTGTTGATATCTGTAAAATATGCAGAAACAAAGGAAGAGAAATGATAAAAATGTCATTAGTAAACTTATTTGATGGAATCATTCTCTTTCTTCAAATAATGAAGTGATACAAAACTAGTGTCACAATATATTAAAGCCATCAAGCTTGTGATAAATAAAAAATATTATTCTTGGTTCCACCAAATAATAATAATTTCCTAATGATTTGTTTTTAGAATTTGCATTCTTTTTTTCAGCAAACTTTAAAGTATCCACAGATTTGTGCATTCACAGTGTTGTAGCATTCAAATGCTTGTAACTTCTGATAAGTGCATCTTTTGTTTTAGTAAAAGTTTGTTTATTTTTGGTGTAGAATCAGAATATGCAATAAAAAAAATGGAGAAACTGATAGTCCCATTTTATGATTTCCTCAAAGTTAAACATTTTTGGTTCAATGATTTTTTCATAAGATGTATATTTTTTGAGTTATACCACTGGATCGATTAAAATGGTCCACCATGCACTTAGCTCAAGCTATACTATTTTCTTCTATTTTCTATAAAACTATATAGAAAAATGTTATCATGATTCTCTCTGAATGTAAGATTTAAAATGAGAAGAAATGTAAACTTAATCTTATGAGAATAAAATATGGCAGTACTGTTATTAAACTGTAATTGACTATATTCTTGCTAGTTTAAAAATTTATAATTATCATATGTTGCATAGAATAGCTGAAATTTTTAGCTGATTTCTACTGCAAAACAATGAAAAATATTTAAATTACAAAAATTATTTTAAAAAATTAAATATTTTCAGAATATTATAATTCCATTTTAAAACTGATCATCGAAAGAATAAAAATCTTTAATTTTATAATTGTTAGAAATTAACAATAAATCATGTCAAAATAGAAAATAAACAAAATAAATAAAATCATTCAGTTTTAATTGTTGTAATATAAAACAAATAAAAATAATAAAAAATACAGAAATAACAAATTTAATTTAATAACAATAAAGTTAACATCTTATTTTAAAGATCTCCAATTTTTTTCTGAAAAGGGCCACATGAGTTGTAAAAGGAAAGTCTATGGACCAGATACAAAAGATAGAGATTAAAATAGTGAAAGATAGAGATTAAAATTTTTTTCTTTCTAAATAACAAAGAACATAAATAAACATGAAATTTGCAATGGTTTTTTCAAAAGACCATCATCAAAATTGGGATAAATTTTGTGGCAAAAAATACCAAAATCTGTTTAGATATTCATTGGATGGCAATGAGATATATAAATTCAACATATCAAACATTTTAGAAAAGGTTTTTTCACAAAGGTACATAGAAGCAAAACTAGAAAATATCCCTTTTGCAAACTTCTTAAGACTTAAAATTCTTTTCTGGTAGAGATTTGAAAACATTTAACAAATTTCCTTTTTTAAATTGATTTTTATAAAATTTTGAGTAAATATGAATTAATGGACCATGATGTAGATGATTTATAAAAATCATCTATATCATGGTCCATTAATTCATATCTTAATTAATTCTAGTTGACTTTAACTCTAATTTATTAAATAATTTATGACTACAATAATGGAAATAATAAGGTATGATTCAAACTGCTTAACTTCTTATTTAAATTTACTTTAACTGGCATTAATTTCCAAATTATGTTGTTCAATTCTACTTCAAGTACTATACTTATATTTACTTAAAATTATAATAAAATTTTTAATATTTACCCTTCTTTACAACCATCACATCCAAGATTTGTAAGAAAATTCCATAATGGAATATGTTTTCCATCTAAAATAATTCCGTATAAACAGCCAAAAAATGCTTGTGTTTTTAATTCTCTTGGAACCTTAATATTTTATAAAAGAAAAAAAATGCCATATTTAAAATTTTCAAATAATCTTTAAACTATTTAAATATTACTGTATAATATATAATATAAAATATAAGGTATTCCAATTTATGATTGCCTTCTTTACAACCTTCCTGCTTATGACTATAAATTTTCTGATATTATATTAAAAATCATAATTAAGTGTTTGCATTTTTTTGTTGGCCATCTTTATATGATATTATATAATTTAAACTACATTTCCAAGAGCATAATTTGTGTACTGGGTTTTTGGGAAATAGAGTAATTTGTTCTATGATAGCATTGTATAATAATGATTTGCCAAGAACTAGAGCAATCAAAAGGAGGACACTGGAGATTTTTCTCTAGAACTAGAAAAAACTTAGAGGCCCATAGAGATTCCTACCCCTATAAATTAATGTTATGTTATTTTTACTAACAAAAATAAAATCTTTAAGACTACTTTTTATTAATAAAGAAACATTCAACATTTTTCATTTGTTCAAAGAAAAAATGCAAAAGAGACCCACTCTACCCCCAGTCTCCATAAAAGCACTTGATAATCTTACCTAGAACCAATTTGATCATAAAAGAAGGGGTTTTCTGTATATTTTTTATAAGAATCAAAATTTTATGATTTCAATCTATAAATAACAGGACACACAAAATCTGGAACAGTACAACAGTGAAACTGGCACCTATATGCGATTTCCAGCAAATAACTGTAATGTTCTTACATTTTCGGCCACAATTTAAAGGAATTTATATTTTAAACATAATGGTATTCTCCATCAAATGATAGAAATGCCTTTTGTTTTTTGTCTTATTTCCTGATGAGGGCCTTTAAACTGTGGCCGAAAATGTTAGAACATTACAGTTATTTGCTGAAAATCACATATAGGTGTCATTTTCACAATTGCATCTATGTTTGAATATAAATTTTATAAAATACATTATTGAAGAATATATATATATATATTCAATGTATTTTATGAATGTTATATATGTATCATTAATATAGCATTCTAATAAATAAATAATATTCAAAGTATAAATATTAAATTATAAATCACTAGTTGTCCAAAAATCTAGCATGTGAAAAATGCTTGATTATAGATAGGTCCAAACTCAATTTTAGGCAATACATTAAATATTTTATTTATCTAAGCTTTAAGAATGCTAGGAGTTTAGATGCACTAGATACTTGGAGAATTACTTACAATGAAAAGCATAGATGTATATGACAATGTTTAGTTTTCTGGCTTCTAACTAATACATTATTTGATTTACCTCAGTAATAAAAATTCATCTTATCACTTATCTTGGGAACAGTTAATCACATTATATATTCATAAAATCTCAGTACCCAACAAAACTTTTCCCATATAAATCTTTGTTTCTGTTTTCAATTGATTTATACATTAAAAATTATATTTCAAATTGTTTTTTAAATATGTCAATAATTTTATCAAATATCAATAAATTCTTTAATTTATAATCAATATTAAAAATTCTGAAAAAATTAATGTGTTACAGTCAAACAGTAGTTTATTTGAATTAAATGTTTTTCAAGCTATTTCATACCTGATTATCAGACAAACACTTAACAATAAACAGATTCAAACAGCACATGTTAATAAGTTTAAATAATTTGTAAATGGGAGAAAGTTTTTAAAAATTTTTTTGTTCTGTTTTTGTTTAAAAATTAAAACATTCCAATTATAATAAAATACTGACTACATAACATCTTATAAAAATAAAACTTGCTAAAATTAATCAACTCAAATTAGTACATTATTATATGATTATACAAAATTTAAATCTGTAAAATTCACTATTTTTAGTTATTATTAAGAATTATAGATAATATTACCTGATATAATTTTGGTAAACCTCCCACATAGAGATGTGATGACTGATCAAAATCCATTTTAGAATATCCAACAGGTGATGTACCTTCAACTTCCCACGGATCAGGAAGTTGTCCATCTGTATTTGGTTGTACTCTTAATTTTGCAATATTTCCAACTCTAGGGAAATAAATAATAACTGTTATCTTTTAATAACTATATTATTACATTTTATGAACAATGTTAAATATCATTGATTTACTTTTTATTCTTAGATAACAAATTTCATGAACATAGCTAATAGTATGTTAGACCCACAGAATCGTTTTTATAAACAAAGAATGATCGATTGTTTGAAACAGAATATCATCTTAACATAAATGGCATGTAGTTTATTGACAAGTTTGTTTTCTAATAATTTTCTGGGGATGATATTGCAGTTGAACCTCTCTAAAACAACACCCAATACGATGATAAACTCCAGTACAACAACAGAACTTCCACAATCCCAGCTGAAGTCTTATACAAATACTGTAATTTTTTACCTACTTCAGCAATAGTAAAAACCCTGATACAATATAACTATTGGGATTTGTTGATGCAATCCACAGCCAATTCAAATGCTTCATTGCGGCTGACCATGTGGCGAAGAGCTAAGATTATTCGCTAATCGTGTTACCTATGACCCCCCCTTACACTCCAGAATTGTTTGCCCAAAACTAGCTTATTGGTGGCATTGTAATCATCATCACTACCTCAGCCAATCCTATTATGAAAAACTGCAAACTGATCAATCATGCAAAATCTATCAATCATGAAGCATTTCCTTTTTCCACCAGACAAGAGCTCTGGCTAGTGGCCAAGAAGGTAGTATGTAGAGGAAAAAAAGCACAAAAAAAGATAAGTTTGAAAATGAAGCTTTCAAAAATATTGATGGTGGAATAAAACAAACAGAAATTGCAAAGAAGTATAGCTTAACTCAGTCAACCGTAGCAACATTTTTAAAGAAACAGAAGGCAATCAAGTGCANCTTAGATACCACATAAACTAATGTGACCTTATTCTATCCTGTTAACTGTTGTAAAACATATTTGATTTTGTGTCTTTAGTAGTTTCATTATGATACAAATTTTAATTGATTTGCATTTTCTCTACGAGAAAAATAAACAATCGAAAGATATCAATTATAAAAATTGTCATTAAAATTTTTCTTTATAATTTCGCATTAAATTATGCCACAACATTCTGAATATTGTAAATTCGTATTGTTATAAGCTAATCCAGAAGTAATGTCATTAGCATGGAAATTCAAGCCAATAAAACATATATAAATCTTTTGATATTTTTATGTATTTTGTGGAAATATCCAAGAAGTAGCAAAATGATAAGAGATATTGTGATGGAAACTAAAACAGGAAAACCCTGAATATTAGAGTCTAATGAGTTATTAATTTATTATTTTAAATGACATACCTAATAACTTCTATTTTGTACCAATACTCATTTTTTAATAAATATTCATTTGTTTTAATTGTTAAATTATGAGAAATCACTTTTGTGCCACCACCAGCATTCCATAAAAATCTAATTTTCCTATTGATCATTTCCACTGCCATAAAATCATCCTGAAAAATTAACATTTAATAATCATATTAAGCATCTTAATTTTTAATATATGTACAGTATATTAGATAATAAGTGTAAGAAATTTGACATGACTCTCTAATTATTAAATAACTCTAGATTTTGGCAGAAAAGATTAAAATTTAGTGCTAAATTGAAGCAGAGTCACAGATGATCACAGCCCTGTAGATAGGACTCTATAGACTTCTGTATACCTTATTTTGACATAAATTCTTGGTTTATCATCTTTTTTTCCTTTCATGAACCTGAAATTACATAAATTGATTTTCTTGACTTATAATCAAAATTTTATTATACAGATAGGGGCACAGGCCCCAGAGATGCAACACTAATTTCCCCTCTCTTTCATTAACACAAAGTCCAAGATATTTTATTAAAAATTATCAGTATTTTCTTTAAACTGGCATGTGATGATAAAAATATTTCAATTTTCACTGAAATTATAATTAAATTATTTTCATCTTTGCTGTTTTTATTTTATTTTCATTGTTAATTTTAATCAAATATCATGGAAATGTAAGATTATTTGTAGGATTAATGGAATAAAGGCAATGCAACACATGGGTGAGCTGCCAAGGGGGAATACCTCTCAGGAAAACTTCTATGGGAAACTGGGCCAATTTAAGTGTTAGACACGTGAAAAAACCTGAAAATCTCCAAGTAGCCAGCCAATTAGTGAGGTGCATACCTATATGTTCAGTGGTTTTATATCTCATAGTCCTATCTGGGGAATGACAGCCCTATCATTTTATTTTAAGTAACTTTATATTTTTTTCTACTTTTATCTATTAAAGAAAAAAAGAAAGAAATTCCAAATAAATTCTAAACCATCTCGCAGAAAAAATCAAATACATATTTTAATGAGTACAAAAATCAACTTAATTATTGAAAGATTTACAGAATTCTGTTCTGTTTCCACTACAGACATTGAGAAAATATAATGAAATATATTTTCATTATATCTGAAGTGGAACAATGTTTGGTACAATGCAGCATGCTATTTAAATCATTGGAGTTGATCTGTATAAATATGTGGGGACAGGCCAATGACAATAATTGAGAACAATTTCTCATTGCTGAATTTTGAGTAGATATACAAAATAAGATGTTTTTTTGTTGTGTACAGTTTGTTTCTACTTTTATCTTTTATAGTATGATATAAAATGAAAATACATTGGGAGGGGAAAAACAATTTGCTGGTAGAAAAATACTGGGAATATGCCCCCTGTGTCCCATATGAATTGACACCCATGATTTAAATAGATATCACTATTACATAAAATACAGTTTGGAAATTAATGATTTTTACAAAATTAATATAGTTTTAAAACTATGATAATTAATCCTTTTCATTATTATTTCACATAAATTGTATACAGGAATCCTCCAGTAATGCATACCTTGTTAGGTGAACTGATGCTTTATCCTCTGGCTGGTCTTATGAGACTTTCTTAAGGTACAGTACCTGTTAATGTGAAATCCCCAGTAAATCAAAGTGTAAAGTGGAAATTGCGACCCTAACATTATATTAATCCTAATAACACAAAGAGAAGAGAATGACAAAAACCATCCAAAAAATTCTTCAGCTTTTTAAATCTCCAAAACAGTGTTTCACTGCCAAGCCTCTTAATGCCTATATTGTCATTCTATGACAAAATAATTGCTAAAATCACTTTAATTTTCTTTTTTAAAACCCTTTCTTTATTGAACATGTAGAGAAAGAAATGGAACATCCTAGTTTGCATAAAGAATATTACAGTGGCTTTGAATTCAGTAACATCCCAAGTGATAATGAAGTGTTTTTGTAAAAGGGGCCTTGTCAAAGCAGAAGAAAAAAGTGCTGCCAAAGAGAAAAAGAGTATAGAAAATACTGAAGAAGTGTTCCAAAAATGGGAAGAACTCTGTTCTAGCGAAAACATGATTGAACAATTCTCCAGTTATGTTCACATCAATAAGTTTGTTGTGACAAGTGATGAAAAAAGTAATGATACTGTTGTAGAAGAAGAGGCCAGTGGAGGCTGCAATGAACTTGGGAAAGAACATTCCAATAAAGGAGAACTGCAACTGTTGCCATGGCTCTCACCTTTCACACTCCCAAGCCATGGCAGTAGTTGCAATGCTCAATGCCATTTTTTTCTGTTAAGAATATAGATTATAATCTCGCTAAGTCATTTGATTCCATTTATAATTATATTAATGGTAGTTATAAAAGTGGAAAGAAACTATCATTGACTATCATTGATAATTTCTTTAGAAAATTGTAGGCCTAACAGAATCAGAATACTGGGTGTGAAACGTTAGATAGTACAATAATTTCTGGTGCTAAAAGGCTAATAATGAACTTGTTACCATTAATTCTAATTTTATTGTTGTTGGTAATGGATGGTATGGAAACAAATCCTGGCCCTCTGCAACATTCACCAGTCAAGATAAGTCAAACCAACATGCAAAAAAAGGGGCATGGAATCAGAATACTGTAATGCAGTTTTGATTATTGACTTGGACTGTAATCAAATTAATTTATTCTCAGATATTAAACAGAAAAACCAATCAGAAAAAGCACTCTTAATTTTTCTTATTTTGAATACTGTAATATGTGTTTATTTTAATTTTATGTTTCATATTTAATAATACAATAGAAAAGGAAAAGAATTTTAAATATTATACCCCTTTAATGAAAACCCCATTAGTGTGATGTTTCTTGTTTCCCTTCCAATTTGCATTAATGGAGGATTCCTGTATTTCATTTCATCCATATTAACACATACAGTTTTCCTGAATTTTTCACAATACATTTTACTGAAATTATAACATATTTAAAAGTTTTCTCTATGAGCAAAGTTTGATTCTTTATACATAAAACTATTTTCATTATTAATTGATTATGAAATAAAACACACAATCATTCTGAAACCTATTTATTAATGTAAAAAAATTTAATATTTTTCCATATGTTCCACCATTGCAACCAGCTGACATCAAATGAAATAGTGCCAAGTGATATCATTTAATATGAATTGTTTTGAATAGATATTTTCAGATTGTAAAATGACAACTTAAACATTTAACATCAATTTTATTCATTTAAGCATTTAACATTAGTGAATATCATTTGAATGTCAAGTATTCATTCGTCATTACATAGCTAAAATATCTATTCAAAACAATTTATATTAAATGATTTCAATTGACAATACTTTAAATAATGATTATTGGTATAATTTAACACTCGTTGACATCATTTCAATTATCTTAATTCAGATGATTTCAATTTAAATGATTCTAACTGGATTATTTCAAATGATATCAATTAATAATTTTACTAGCGTTTAATTCATTTTATCTGTATGAAGTACCAGCACAATAAGGCTATAAGGGTAGCTTTGCTATTTTAATTCTAATTTATTATATATATAAAATCATTATATAATTCTACTTTATATACATGGTCTCCATATACATAAACATCTATCCAGGGGCAAAAGAGATCTTTCCAGCATTGAATGAGTGTATGCACGTGATATATGCTTGTTCCAGTGCTAAAATAATTAAAGAGAATCAATTTAAGACAATTTAACAAAATGCATAAAATTATCTCTAACTGTAAAGATAAAGACAACATTGCAGAAATTGATACAAAAGAAGGAGCTTTATTTTGTTAGAGGACATGTTAACCACTTCCTTCAGCAGCAATACGAAAATGCAGATGGTTGAGTGTGGCATTATGGATGACACATAGCATTCTTGATGTCACCATTTCACAGGCCTCTTGTATGAATCTCTTCAGTTTTCCAACATCATGTGATACTAGTGGATATGCACGATACAGCAGTTTTTAGGTGACTGCACAAGAAAAAATCCAGAAGATTATCTGGAGAATATGGTGGCTGTGAAACAGGACCATACTGTCCTACCCAGAAATTGCCAAATTACTCTGTAAGCTACTAACATATGAATGTCCAAGAATGAGCTAGCACACAATTGTGTTGGTACCAAACCTGCTGTAGTTGTACATTGGCAAGTCATTAAGCCATTTGTCCATCATTATGTTTAGAATGTTCAGATATCAGTCATTATTTTGGATGTCATCAATGAATATAGTACATGTCTGTTATAGACAATAGATTATGCTAACTGACTGTGTGTGACTACAAACTTATTTTATAAAATGAAATAATTTATAATTTTATGATAATCTGTTTAATATAAACAAATTCATAAAGAAAGAGAGAATTATATTATATACAGCTTTTTAAATGCTAAAGTACAAATTTTAAAAATTAATTTAAGTTCTTATAACATTTAACTATAAAATATATAATTATTTAATACATATTATATCATATTTAAAGATTAATTCTATTTTTAACAAATAAAATGGCAAAGCCATTCTTGGGATAAGACTATGTCTCAGAGAGTGCAAGCAATGCACATGCAAATCTTGCACTTGCACTTATTTGTAGAAACAGTCTCAGAATTTCATATTTTCTTTTGACCTGGTTCTCGGTCCCCTGATTACCTACAAGTCTGGTTTATTTTATGTGCACATGATTTGGGCACCAAATACTCTATACCAAATTGCAACTCCTGACATGTACTCCTTCATACCTCTAAGGTATGAAGGAGTACATGTCAGGAGTTCTACATACTTCTAAGGTGTGCAGCCGTTGACAGCAGCACGATTTTAGACAAGACATAGTCTTGTCAAAAATATAAAAAATAAAAGTAATATTGAGAAATAGTATCCAAAAGTATTGTCAGTTTCATTATTAATTGAAATAAATAACAATTTTAGTAAAATCAAACTTACTGTTTTATTATTGGCTAAAAAAAATAATAAACTGTCTCTAACATCATCTTTTATTGAATAATTAATACGTATATGATTTGTTGTTGCAGGTTCTATATCAGGTTGAAAAGATCTGACACAAATTCCAGATTTATCGGTTGTAAGAGATATCCGTATCTATATTAAAAAATAACAATAATATTAAGAATAATAAACAATAATAAAACTTTAAAAATGAAGTTAAAAATCTATGTAAATCATTATTATATGTTTTATGCTTGTTCAAAACCAACTTCAATTTTATATGAAATGTTTGAAAATGGAACGTACATTCTGACTGTTTTACAATCAAACAATAGTTTTAATTAAATTTAATATATAAATATGTAATTAATCATAAATGTCATTTAAAATGTATCAGTAAAATATTCATAAGATACAATAATAATTTTTTAGAAGTTAGTTTTATAGTACATAATAAAACATTTTTAAAAACTATTATATCTCATCTTCAAATCCAAACTTGATAACATTAAAATTGAGTATAAACCAGCTTTTTTATTCAATTTTAATGTCATTATTAAGTTTGGAACTAAAAGTGAGCTGTAATAGCTTCTAAAATGTTTTATCATGTAATAAACGGGCTCCTTAAAACTTATTAGAATTGTTCTTATGGATGATATAAAAATGAAGTTGCCTATCAACAGAAAACATCAATTATACTTCAAAGTATAAATTAGAAACAAAATACAATTTTTAGTTTATTTATAACTGTGATAATTGAGGTATAATTAATAACTGAATATGTATTTTAGATAATATTTATTAACTAAATCCTTTTAAGTTAAATTTAACATTCATAATATATATTTCATTTTCAAACATACATAGAATGTTTGAAAATAAAGTTGAAGTTGGCCTATTAAACAGGTTAAAATAGATTATTACTCCAGTCTGCCATTGCATGCTTTGGTGTCTTCCTAGAAACTGATGCTATCTGACAAATGTTATTTTATAATTTTTCAAATTTTTTTCATAAACATAAATATTTTATACTAATTTAAATATTTTCAAAATTGATTTTATTTCTTTTATATTTAAATGAAAAGCAAGTAGAACTGATTGATATATTTTCTCCCTTGAATCTCTCAAAAGCACAAACTGATCAACTCCACTTTCTGTAAATCAATCAATCTTAGTACTGAAGCACATGATTAATGCTTAACTTTACAGAAACCAAATGACTGACATCCACAATTCTGTTTACTGTATTGTCACAAAATGAAATTAGTTTTTTAAAATTTAACTTGAAATATACAAACAATGTTTATAACATCAACAATTTTCTCCACTTTTTATTTGTCAAAGTTCATTAGTTTGGCTTATGAGAGACTTATCTACGAGTAAGAAAATGTCAGCATTTGTTTTCCAGTGCACATATACTAAACAATATAATGAAATAATAAACTTCTTGATAATAGGATATGAAAGTATGTAAAAACTTGGCATCATGATAGTGATGACTCAAAAAATAAAGACTGCTTGCTTAATAACACCAAAGATTATTTATTTTGGCTCACCTAGGTCCATCTTAAATGTACACAATGAAAAAGAATATTTGCAAGATAGGATATATTTTTAAAAGTTTATTAATTTTTAAAAATATTTAAAATTTTCAGTTGAATTTTAGATGTCAAAAATGCATTCTAATTCGTAAATATTCATTTTCTACTCCTGATGCAATTTCAAAATAAATTTTTTGTCCTTAAGCAAGAAGTTTTTTTTTTGTTGTCACTATAGTAGAATACATAATGTTTTCTCTAATTTAATAATTTTCTATCTCAAAATAATGTCATTATAAAATACAGAAAAAATTAAAAATTTGAAAAAGTATATAATAGACATAGCTATATTTGAGAATCTATGTTTGTATTGAAAACATAGATACTCAAATATACTAGAGACTCACTTTAACAGATCTTGATTTAATTAAATAATATATTATTGATTAAATCAGTCCAACTATCAAACTGTAATCAAGACTCACTTGATTACAAAGTTTGATAGTTGGAACTTTCAATATATTCTGATAGTAATATCACAATATATTTTTAAATAACAACATATTTAAATATTACTAGCAGTTTCATTTTTAATATTAAAAATAGTATATTATTAATTAGAAAAAAAATATATATATAATATATGATTATTCTAATTAAAATAAATACATAAATATATACAGTAAATGGAAACATCCATAAACCACATAGCCCAGTTAAAGGGAGTAAAGAATAAATTAGTGGCTATCATGAGTCACTACAATGGGGGAGGGAGTCCGATATGTAACCTAACCTTTTATAAAAAGTTCAATACAGCCTATTATCTGTTGAAAGTACATTATAGATATGACATCATGCATGTGGAGAATCACAGTATAAGGAAAACTATTAGAAGAAACAATATTGAGCAGAAGAGACAACAAATCACAAATATCAATTGAGAACAAATGAAGTAGCAATAGTATGAGTCTTTGAAATTGTACAATTATAATTATTTAATTTAACTCATTATTTTAAAATATTAACATAAAATTATATATAATATAGTTACAAAATACAAAATATAAATTCTATGGTTTTATATATAGCATGAGCAGTATGACACAAATTCTAAATGAACTGGCAATACTTCAATAGGAAAAAATCATTTGGGGGTTAAAAAAACATTAGCCACTGAAATTCAAACTATTACAATTGTTATTTGTAATTGACCTACTGTATCTTTGTTTTATTGTGTTTTTGTTGGTTTAAGGGGAGTTGCAAAAAACCTTTTGTTATTCTCCCATATGGTTTTTAAATTTAAAAACAATAAATGAAAGTATTTGAGGGTCTGGCTTCATTAGACTATATGGTTTTAGTGATAGGGGTCAATTGTTTGGGTACAAAGAGTCACCGGATGAGAGAGGGGATCAAAATTTGCAAAATACTGATCTATATGGTTTGTAGATGTTCCCTATAGGATAAAATTAAATAATCCAATTTCTATTGTTTTTAATTTAATATTTTAGAACAATCATAATAGTTAAATTAATATTTATCTTTAATAAAAAATTATAATAAATGTAAATATTAACACTTGATGCTTTTTGCCGAGCAAGCAAAATATTATCCTTTAATGCTTTCAACTTAGAAGAAACTTCTTCATGCTTATATCTTAATCTTTTGAATAAAGTTTCAGATGAATGTTGCTTTCTACTTGCTTTTTCTAAGTTTTCTTGACTCTGGTCAACTAAATAAACCAAAAAATATATTCACTTGATTAATTTTTTAAAATTCAAATAAACTTTAAAATTACAGTTGACTCACTTTGAAAAGTTAAGTTCTTCATTCCTAATAAAGTGCTACTTTCTAATCTCTTTATTTTATCATAAATTTCAGGATACTTTGATGTAATATTATTTACTTTTTGTTTAGTTTTATGAATGCTTTCACTGACTGCAGTCTGTATAATCATAGTTGATTTTACTACATTTTCAATTCCTTAAAAAATTTGTAATAATTAATTTAATTTTTAAAAATATTTAAAATTTTCAGTTGAATTTTAGNATATAATATGTAATTATTTAATTATAAAAAATAAGAGATTAATCATAAAATTATAACTGCTGTAATTAATCTACAAATCAAAAATATTTATGATATTATAAATTAATAAATCAATCTTAAATCAATTTTATTAAGAAGGATTTAGATATTCATTCTAATTATTATTTAATTTTCTCGAACTTTTAATTTTAATTTAAACATAAATGCATCTACATGTTAGCAAATATATATCACATATCTAAATCTAAATAAACAAATTAATCTAAACACAGAGTTGGAAAAATTTGGCATTTTGTCAAGGGTACAGTGGATCAGTGGCACATCTAGAGGGACCCAAGGGGCCCAGGAATGTAAAGGAAAAACACCACTAGTAAATTTTCCAGAAGTCTTTTTCTAATTAAAATTCATTTTTTTAATTTATATTTTATGGTATGTTCTATGGTATTTCTATATTATTTATGAATTTGGTTCACATAAGGTGGAAATTATATTGAATTCACATTAAATTTTTTTTTACCTATTCAACTTGGCTCCCCAAGATTAAATCTTGAATGAACACACCACTACAGTGAATATTGAATATATGTAGAATAGGCAAAGATTTTGGATATAATATGTAGATATTGTAGAGTCATCAATGTCAATACAAAACTGATTAACATGATAAAATAAATACATTTTATGAGAAGAAAAATAGTTTATTGTAATTTTGAATGCAACATATGATAGATAAATGATATAGTTTGTTATTGATATAAGAAATGAAAAAGTAGAAAGGAAATGGTTGTTCTCAAATCTCAAAGAACAGAAACCAAACTAATAAATTAATACATAATTTAATCACTTAATTGGGACAACTTTTCACTTAATTGAGACAGTAGCAGAAAAGGAATTTAGCAATTTTTGATATATTTTAGGGGCCTTCCGAAACTATGTAGACACTAAGTACACTAATGTCATGCAGGCCTAACAGTTGACAGAGACAAAGCAATTTTGTCTTTTGCTCAGGCAGTTCAGTTTTTCCAGAGGGGGTCAGCATAGTGGGACGTATCACACGGGGATCTCGTCTGAGGTGGTCCTGAATTCGAGCTACTGACACTGCTCTGAACTGGATGGGACAATCCCCTTAAAAGTGACAGGACAAAGATCCCCGGACAATTTTTTGAGGTCTCTCGACTAGAGTTCCTTGGAAGGTATTGTGTGCATAATTACATCTAGATTACAACAACAGTCATCTGATCATTCAGACCAGCATCCGGAGCTGGCAGATTCTATGGACGCTCCTGTTCAAATGGCCCATCTCCAATTAAAGGAAACTATGCTCAAAGGAAGATCGTAGGGTGATTTTTAGACAAACCCTTTAACTTCTCCCTTTTTAGTTAGAACATGTTCTAACTAAAAAAGGAAAATGGAAAAATCATTTAATCAGGAACGAATCAAACAATTAACCCTTGTGTCATCACTGCTAATACTGTATTTCGCAACACTAGTGTGATGCAAATCAGTTATCTATTGTTGTGAGTCTGGCAAATTTAATTACAAATATTTTCTGTAGTTTGGTTTAATAAATCATTAAAATAGATACCTAATTATTATTTTTTACCTACTTATTTATTTACCTACACATTACATATTTTATTTTAGAATTTATTATTAGTTCGTTTAATTGGGACAGCAGTTAATTGGGCCAAAATGGATTAGTCCCAATGTGTTTCAATTAAGTGGAATCCACTGTACTAAAAATCAGTTGCATCAAAAAGCATTAATTTTCCATAAACATAATAATTGTAGGTTTATGTGCTACCTTGAGTCACGTGATCAAAATTGCACTAAATAAGCTACATAAAATCAGCAATAGAAATAAAAAACCAGCAGAAAAAAGTAATAGAGCTAACGTTTTGCCTGTGTTAAAAGGACATCCTCAGGCTAAATGACCTCACAGCTGTTAAAACAATGAGGAAATGCTGTACAAGTATCAAGATCTACTGAGAGGAGGATGCCTTCAAGGAGGACTTTTACAGATAAGTCATCCCTATTTAGGTGTTAATAACATGGAAACCTGGAAAATTCCACATGGCCAATCCATTGGCAAAGCACAAACCCATGACCAATTACCAGCTTCAGTGGTTTTATCCACTAGGCCACTGGTGGACACATGAAAACTTCTAAAAAACAAACATGAGGAATCATTTACAAGTTTCCAGAATTAATAATTCTAAAATAAATATTAAATTGATTAGCAGATTAAAAATNCATTTGAATGTCAAGTATTCATTCGTCATTACATAGCTAAAATATCTATTCAAAACAATTTATATTAAATGATTTCAATTGACAATACTTTAAATAATGATTATTGGTATAATTTAACACTCGTTGACATCATTTCAATTATCTTAATTCAGATGATTTCAATTTAAATGATTCTAACTGGATTATTTCAAATGATATCAATTAATAATTTTACTAGCGTTTAATTCATTTTATCTGTATGAAGTACCAGCACAATAAGGCTATAAGGGTAGCTTTGCTATTTTAATTCTAATTTATTATATATATAAAATAAGTAAAGCTTAAAAATATTGTAATGATCCATAATTATGTGTTATTGCAGAATTCAAATACATAAAGAAACATTTAAAAAAAGAAGTGTATGCCCATTTGTTAACTTATACAATCACATGAACCTGAAACAAGCAAAAGCTGTAGATGCAGTTGGTGATTCAACAGGGAAAACTGAGCAACAACAGAATGAGAACTAAATGAAGCTGCTTGTATATCTACCATTTTATAAAATTTGACATGTATTTCTCTGTGCATTTGTTTTACTTAAAATGATTACCATATAAATATAATGCAGTCAAGTTTTACATTATCTTATTTTACATGATTCTGAAATAAAATACTTTTATAATACAAGTCTTGATAATATGTTTTATAATGGATGTAAAAATTAAAATTAAAATACATTCATGTAAGGTATTAAAAAATTGATAAGGTAATTCAAGAAGTTAAAAGTCAAAACAAATTACAATTATAGATTATATGCATTTTTTTACTTTATAAATAACTTTCAGATAAGTTTATTTAAGAAATGATTTTTTATACAGGGCATATAAACTTTTGTTCCAAATTTCATTCAATTTTATCTGTATAAAATAATATAAAGATTGTTATATTGCTGATTACTTATGTCTTCTCAGAACTGCATCATCCAATTTTAATGTATTTTTTGGGTATAATTAGTTTTAATTTGCCCAAATCCTTGTTTACATAAATATCCCAGAAATGACATCATCACTTAAATCACAAATGTATTGTACAATGTATATATTCTTTTACATCTATAATTTAGAATAATGTTTATTTTTGACAAAAAAAAAGAATGTTTAAAGTAAAAAATTATTCACTTCATTATATAAAAACTTACATTTATTTAAAATACAATGGAACCTCGGTATACAACCTTAATCCATTCCTGATGTTTGGACATATACTGAATAGGACATATACCAAACCAACTTGTCCCATAAGAAGTAATGTAAAAATGATTAATCCGTTCTCAAGTAAAAAAAAATGGCTGGCTTTAAACACCTCGCTTTCCTGGCTAGTTCCTGCTTGATTTTTCATGAGATCAGCATGTATCTTTTTAGCTTTCTCACAATAATTGCTACTGATACACTGTCTCAAGCACACTGTTTTTCAGTTATCCCCTTTCGCAACATTAGCAGATTTAATAATGTCCTTATTTTTCACAATTGTTCATATTGTCCTTGGAATACGATATGCAACAGTTAAAATCTCAAACACACATGCCACCTTCATATTTCTCAACAATCTCTTTTTTTCAGTTCCATTGTGATTCTAGTCATTTTTTTTAGTTTTCTGTTGCTTTTTATTTGCCTTTTTGCAATTCATAATAAATAAAAATAATAAAATTTTACTTACAAATTAAAATCAGAAGAAATTTAACAAAGTTATAAACCAGACATGGGCAAATGCGGCTCTTTTTGAGTTACATGCGGCTCTTGCTGAAAGTGTTAATTTCTGCTTTTTATTATTATTTTTACAATTTTATTTCCACAATTTTGTGAAAATATGTTTATTAAAAAAATTCAATATTTGTTTTATATTATATTTATATTATATAATAAAATCGCAGTACAGAACTGCAGTACAGAATAAAAAAATAGAGAATTGCTGCTCCCATGCATTTTGCAAAACCTATATTTCGGGCTCCCACTGAACTCTTGCTTGCCCACCTGTTATAAACTGTGGCGCTGCAAATGTCTAGTCTGGTATAGTATACCAGTAGTGCTACTTGTTCATAGATGGTGCGTATAATTGAATTAAGTCGTATACTGAACAAAAGTCGTATACCGAGCAAAATTTGTTTTGTCCAAACAGGACGTATTCTGAATTGGACGTATTCTAAAGCAGACATATACCGAGGTACCACTGTAGTTGAAAATAATTACTTATTCATAAATAAGCATTAATGGAACAATAAAGTTATGTTTCAATTATAACAAAGTTATAATCTTGTAATAAGTTATATCATCACTAGATTATATAAGAACATATAAAAATCACTTTTGTTTTAACTGTATTAAATTAACTGTTTTATTGGAATTATATTTGAAAAAAAATAGCAAATGATACAATTAGAAGACTACAACTATCTTGGTGACCTTTGCTTCTGATCAGGATATTGATATCTTTTTTTGATAGGGCTCATCTTATACACTGTGCATTGACTCCTTCTCATCTAAAATATCTGGAAACACAGTATTTGAAATCTATATAGCAATTTGTAAAGGGACCACAATTAACAGTAGAGATGACTCAATTGTTATATGTGTTTGAAGTTTGAAGTTGTCTAGTTTAATTTAGTGTCTCTTTGTTAATATTACATTTTTATTAATTTTAACCACCTTTTGTTATATGTTTATGCATTTATGTAACTTACTTTTTATTTATATTCATTTTATATGTATTTTTATTTTAACTATTTTTATGTATTTATTTTTAATTTTATGTTAAATATTAACCTATTTGTATATTCAACCCTTGCACATGTGATATGTAATATGATTCGAATCATTCAATCATTTGTATTTTTAAAACTGACTTTTGTTCTATCATAAGAACTGATGATGATCTTTAAATTAAATTGAAAATATTAGTTCAGTTATTAATTAAATTTGGTTTTTTTTACTGGATTAAGTCTATTTTGAATTAATTATGGTAGTATATCCAATTCTTTTAAAACTTACCTTTCAGATAATTTATGTAAAATTCTGCATCATTTAAAATGTTGTTATTTTCTTCCATGACATCATTTAATTTTTTTGACAATGAGTATTTTGAGTTAGGATCAACCTTTAAAAAATTAAACTTCAAATATATTTTAAAAATTAAATTAAGTATAAAAAAATAAAAAGTTTTTAAGATTATTTTAAATATAATAAATGTATAATGTAATTATTAAATCCATTTTTAACAAGAACAGTTCTATTTTTTTCTTTTTCACAAAATACCAAAAATTACAGATAATAAATCTTTGAAAAACTGATTTCACTTTCCAAAAAGCCTAAATAAATTCAAAACATGTCAAAGATTCATTAACTTGATGCCTAAAACTAAAATATCAAAAATGAAAAATCAGTAACTAATACCTGCTGGATGATGAATTTAAAATAGTGATCTTTGAAACTTGGATGGCAAAATGTGGGAATTTCCTCAAAGATCAACTTGCTTAACCATTACTATTATTTTATCTTCAATAATTTGGCTTTATAACTTACATCAGATTAATTAATAAACCTTTCCAATATTTTTAATTTATAGTATAAAGTTACTAAATTTTTTTAGAGATAACAAAGAAAATGATTTGAATGTTTTGAATATTATTATTAAATAAATCATATAAATCAAATTCATCAATAATTGTCAAACTGAATCAGCTCTGCAAGCACAATATTAAGTAATTTTTCAAAAATGAAAGATTTTTGATTTATCATCCAATAATTGTCTTTTTTTTTTTTTTTTTTTTTAATCTTTGGTCATCTGGCTAAGTAATTTACTAAAAATTAAATTTTAAACCTATTTTCTCAAAATAAAATCTATATTGTTAAAAGTTGATGGAATCTTCAATATATCAAAATTCCAAATTAAAAACATTTGAAGCATTTAATATAAAATATCTCCAAAACATTTTGCATATTAAACTTTTACTTAACATAAATCAGGGGCGTCAACAAGTTGATCGCGATTGACTGGTCGATTGGTGTATCACGTTTGGTCAATTGCAGAAAATATGAACCAGTTAAAATGCAAAACATGGAGTAATTTTGTTAGGAGAATTAAATCCACATTTTTCATGGTATTGTTTAATTTATGTTTAGTATATTTATAAAATGGAGATAATCTGGAATCCTAATTGCTGTGCAATAAATAAATATAACTATGTATTGCAGCATAATTTTATTAGGGTAAATTATTAAGCTATTATAGAACTGAGATGTGAAGTAGATCATTGGCGGTTTTGACTCATGACAGTCGATCACATCCCACTCTAAGTTGGTCAGGCCTGACATTGATAAATAATACTGGCATAAAACAATTATAAAAATAAGCAACATGCAATTTGCATTGCAACCAGATCATTTTTTTTATAATCATTTTATAGTATTGCAGTGAATTTTATTTGTATTACAATTAATCTTATTTAATAAGTAAATATCAATATTACTTAAGATTAATTGTTAAATTTAAAAAATTAACTTGATGACTTTCATTTTGTATAATGCTTAATAGAAAAATTAGCTTTTCATTTTTTTTCTATTTATCCAAATATAAAGAATTCATAAAATTACTGTATACTTTATGCTTAAAATATGTCACAAAATTTTCATAAAGTCAAAGCTATGGGAAAAAAATATCTGAAATTTGATTAAAAAGTTTGAATATTTTACATAAGAAAATCCATTAAAAAATAAAACAATATTTTAACAATGGAAATTAATGAAATCAAGATAATTTTAAATACAATAATGTATTAAGACTATACCATTGAATACGTTAGAGATTTAGTAAACTTCTAAAATATATGTACTTACTTTTGAATAAGCTTCTTTAGCAATTAATGAAGCATTTTTTACAGTTAAATAAGCTTGATCAATAAACTCCACAATATCTTTAAATACTGTTGATGCTTTCAATGCAAATTTTGCAGATTCAAGGTTACAAAGTCTAAATTTAAAAACTTATATATATGTTGAAAATAAACGTATGTACAGTTACAATTAAAGTTCACATATAAGAATTACAAACATTAGATATTAACAAAGTTCAAGGTAATCATCCACTGCAACAGGTCCGTCGGAAAAGCNGTTTTTATTTATTTATTTATATTTAAATATTAATTAATTCATAAATTAAAATTTAATATAAATTAAGAATAATTTATCTTAAATATTGTATTTTATAGTGTAAATATTGTCAGCCATTTATAACTGAATTATTTTTAAAGTTTGAAATAAATTATATTACATATAAAAAGTAGAACATCGATTACAGAAAAAACTTTTATAACATTTAAAAGATGCATTATATTACAAATGTATGTGTCACCTATTAGACTAACAAATTTTAAAACAATATCTGTACATGCTTTCTACTACTATCTAAAACTATAAGTTTTTTCTAGAAAGGGAAAAAAATAAGCTCAATAAAGTTAAATAAATTCGTTTTGACTACAAAAATAAGTCCTAAAATGAGAGATACATGTGCTCAATAATGAGGGAAAGGTAATTTCTTATCTCATGTAATAAAAAGTTCTATAAATTCTATTTTTACACAGATAATGTGATAGACAAAAATTTCTATTTTGACTCATTAGTTTTATCCTGTTTTAAATTTTATATTAAAAAGTGTTTTGTTATTTATTAAATAGCTTCATTTGTTTTGTTATACAATGCACATGACTTTCTCACTCAATTATTGACTCAATTAAAACGTTCTCACTAATTTACCAATATTAAAAAAAATGGTTTTTATGGTTTTATTAAATACTAATATATTGCAAACATTTGTTTATTGACAAAAATCACAAACTCACTTAAGAATAATTATTATTATTATTATTACATTACCAATGAAATAGCTTACCCAACTAATATCTGTGATTCATTTTGAAGTTTCAATGCATGTTCTTGACAAGGAAGGACATACTTAATATGATATTCAGGATTAAGTCGAGCCAGAATATTATATTGATAATCCAATAATTGAGTCCATGACATCATTTAATTTTTTTGACAATGAGTNTGAAGTTTCAATGCATGTTCTTGACAAGGAAGGACATACTTAATATGATATTCAGGATTAAGTCGAGCCAGAATATTATATTGATAATCCAATAATTGAGTGTAGTTTTTAAAATCAAATGTGTAAGTGGAAAGACTCTAAAAATAATCAAGAATTAATTATTATTATTTAATATTTTATACATAAAATAAATACTTTGCTCCATATAAAAAAATATGACTGACAGAATATCAAATTTCTTTTCGATATCATCAAAAACTTTAAATATTGTTTTGTACAAACAAGATTTCCTTAACATAAAATTACTTTAAATCTTATTTTTAGTTAGTGTTAATTTATTGAATATTTTTCTTGTATCTATTAATTATATTACTCTACAGTTAAATAAAATAAAGTACAATGAAGTAAAGAAATAACTCCATAATTATAAATTTTACATAAAAAAAAACAAATTTTTTTAAAAAGAAATCTATATTTTTAAATAATAAGAATTCTTTCTTTAATAAATGTCTACTTTTCAAAAGATGGAATTTGTTTCAGAAGCTAAAAGCTTCTGAAACAAATTCCATCTTTTGAAAAAACAGTTTCAGAATTAAATTAGAATTACTCATTTTCTATATGATGAAAAATAGTAAAACATAACATATAAAATTCAAAAAATAATGAAAAAATAAATTATTTAAATATTTGAAATGATTAATTAATAAATTTGAAACTATTGTAAATAAGTATAGAAATAAGCCAAAATATTTCTAAGTTGGTTAGAATTTAAACAAACCAACTATGATTTAGTTAATTGTATATTTTATACAATATCTTACCTCAAAACTACTATTGGTAACAATTATGCTGTTTTTAGTTTCTTTTAGATTTAATTCAGCTTTCTCTAATGTCTTATTTACATACAGTATATTATTTTTAATCATATTCACATTATTCTGCAAAGAAAATGTTAAATTTTTATTTAAAAAAATTAGATAAAATGTCGATGTATAATTATATAAATATATTTCTAAAATATATGATAATTTTGTACAGCACTTATATAAAAATCTTATGCAACTTTTTCTATGTGGAGGACCTGTAAAAACATTGGTAACTATAACCTACTTCTTACTTTTTATTCATTAATGATCAATAATTATGATGCAATCTTTATATTTAAATTTGCATCACTCAATAATATTTTAACAAATAATATTACAAAAAAGTGTATATTGAAGAATTCTGAAAATATATTTCTGGTCTGGTTAAGACCAGAAATTCTATAAAATCATACATATGAAAAATTGATAAAACTGATAGCAAATTAAGTTTGAGACTAATTAAATCTGTCACAGATAAATTAAAAATAAAATGTGATAATATAATGTATAACTGCTACTACAGTCAGAGAATTAATACATGAAAAAAATTTTAAATTATTCAATAAAGGAAGATTACTTACTTGATATGTGAAATCAGAAAATTTATCCCAAGAAAGAATAGCATATGTTTCATTAATTGGTAAATAAACATCATAGTTAAGTCTAAATAAGAGATTCTGAACATATTTTTCAACATTTTCAACTTTTTCTTTAACATATTTAAAATGATGAGTGTTCATGATACTTGTTTTCACATTCTGTAATAGTTTTCTTGATTTTCTAAATAATATAAAATCATTTTGTTCTTTTGATATGTATATTGGCTGATTTTTATAAGAAAGTGATTCATAATAAATTTTTCATACTTCATAAATTTAGAATATTTATTTTATCATTAGATTATAAATTAAAATCAAAAGTTGTGTCTGGAATACCATACACCATTCTCGACGAGATCTTTAACTTTAATCAAATATCTTCTCATTAACAACTGAATTTATTTATTTTATAAGATATTTTACTCATAACATTGCATAAATTATGCATAAAATAAACATAAATTTGTATTATAAACGTGCAGCAAACTTATAAATTGAAGTGGATTATAATAACAGTATACATGCAGTGCCGTAACTAGCAATTCCTGTGTCCTGTGCAGGAATTTGCATTTATGTCCCTTAATTAATTAGGTTTGGAAAGTAATAAAACAAATAAATGCATTTTGGGCCCCTCTTCCAAGTGGGCCTGTGCGGGTGCACCTGTTGTACCTGCCTAGTTACGGCACTGAGTACAGTACATGCATAAATAAATGTGAGAAAACATATGAAATATTCGAACATAAATTTTGCATTATTTTGGAGAACGAAACATAATAACTTCAAGGGGGTTATGGTGTCAGCCTACCGCTCTGAGGGGTCCGGGTTCGATTCGGGCAGGTCGAATAATACCAGGAACTTTTCAGGGGAGTGGTCTGTTCCAGATATGTTGGACCTCGTCCTTCATCACCCGGCCGCTCCATTGTTGGTCTAGTCGATCCAAGATGGGCTTGGATGATGCCCACAGGGCGGAATGATAAAAAGAAACATAATAATAATCATAATAATAATTGATAAATAAAATAGAAATTGGTCACAAAATACAAAATATGAAAAGACAGAAGTTAACATAGAATTCTTTATTGCTAAAAAGTCACAATAAGAAATTATTCAATACTACAATAAGAATTAAAAAATATCGAATAATAAAATAAAAACAATATATCACTCCAATTNCTTGCTAATTTTTTCAGTGCATGTGTTTTGTACATTGTGAGTGTTTGGAATGGCTATGTCTATAATGTATGTGATTTTATTGTGTTTGTCAATGAGTGTGATGTCTGGTCTGTTGTGGTAAATTGCTTTATTTAAATAACAACAACTCAAAGCCCGAATAGTATATAATAAATTACCAAACGATCGCCTAAATATCGGGCTATAATTAAATGATTGGAATAAAGTAATTTGACATTGCTTTATCTGTGACTATGGCTCTGTCATAGTACATTTTGTGCATGTTGTTTTCTAATACTGTCTGTGGGCAGCTGGATGGCCAAGCGGTCAAGGCGGCAGCCTACCGCTCTGGGGGACCCGGGTTCGAATCCAAACGGGTCGAAAAAATCCCCAGGAATTTTTCGGGGGTGGTCCGTTCAGATATGTCAGGCCCCGTCCCTCACCACCCGGCAGCCCCATTGTGGGCCTGGCCGATTCCATAATGGGCTTGCAAAAAGAGGCCCTCTTAGTGCCCACAGGGCAGAAAGAGTTAAAAAAAAAAAAATACTATCTGTGTAATGTATTTGTAGTATGGTTCATGGATGACTAACAATTTGTTTCTTTGCAAGCTCTTGGTGTATTATATTTGCTACTTGATTGTGTCTATGTAAGTAATCTGTCTGAGCCAAGAGTTTGCAACCAGGAGTGATGTGTTGTATAGTTTCTGGCATGATATGACATTTTCTGCATGTGTCATTTGTGAGTGTTGTATGTTTGAGTATGTGTTTTCTGTAGTTTTTAGTATTTATGACCTGATCAAGAGTCCTTCCATCTCCCTAAAAAGGCATCCCCAATCTAGCCAGGTGTTTGATGCAGTTTTGTCAACAAAATCTTGGGCCAGGTCATAAGGATGCCTGCCATGGAGTGCCTTTTGAGCCCACAATTGTTTGATGGTGTCTATACTTTTTATATGTTGTGTCGTGTCCGTATGATGTGAGTATAAGTTTAATGGTGTGTTATTTGAGTCTGCTAGAGTTACTGCTTTATGTAACTAAGATGTTTCTTGCTTTTTGTAGAAAAACTCTTGCAGTGACTGTATTTGTTTGTAGTGAAGGTTTACTGTCAATCAGACTATGTCCACCATCTTTACATGGAAGGGTTAATCTTTCTGTGGCAGATTTAGAATGATGTTGTTTATGCTTAGTAAGTGTTGTTCTTGTTTTCCTTTGGAGCTGCTCAAGATCTGTGTGAGTCCAATGTATAACTCCAAAAGAATATGTGAGTACTGGAATGACATGTGTTTATTGTATGTAAGTTTAACTGTGTGTTATTATTATTATTACTAATATTATACACAAAATTTTATAAGAGTAAGCTTAAATCATTAATTTCTTCCATGTAGTCAGTTTATAAGCTGTCAAATAGAAGTACAGTGGATGATTGATTAACAAACATAATCCATTCCAAGACTGTATTCGTTACTCAAACTGTTCATTAACCGATTATTGATTTACCATAGATTTTTATGAGAATTTAATTACAGTAGAGCATCGATTATCCGAATACAGATCAAGCGAAACATCGGTTAACCAAAAGTGTTTCAATCGACAAATTCAAATTTCCGCTAGTGCTGTGGCACTGCAATATTTGGCTATGTCTTGGGCACCTTGAATATTATTTTTGTTGATGTGCTTGTTTTAGTTCGCAGCACTGGCGTGACCATGAGAGGGTACTTAAGTATGTGCCAGTATTTGAACAAGGCTTTTTTCCCCATCACAAGTTATGAGTTTTGCTTGTTTTTTGTGTTTTTCTGAGGACTGTGTGTCGAGATGTGTCATGTCGTGCTGAATCAGAACGTTTTTGATTCTAGATTAACTTCCGAAATATAATTTTTTTGTTTTTATATTTTTCAATATATTTATTTTGTTTGTGCAAAATAAAGAAATAATTTTTAATGATACAATAGCCACAATTATTATTTAAAAAAAAAAATTTGTTAGGCTTAACATTGATGAAAATTCAATGCAAAGCGACACACAATAAAGAAAATTTCAACATGGGATAGGTTAATATATTTTTTCGTACATGATCAGTTATCCGAACAACCCCAGTCCCAAATTATTTTGGATAATTGCTGTTCTACTGTAATTCATTCCGGAAACACCAAAAAATAAATAAAAATTTATATACTTTCTTACTATGTTTATTTATATGTAATAATAAAAATACATGTATACACAGTTATGTTTTTTTCTGTTTATGAGGGTTAAAGAATCTGTCCAACGTTGATTGCTTTTCTCACTTCTTCGGGATTTNCCCCCTATAACACTGTTGATAATTCCGTTTTATATGAATTCCATGTTGTATGAGTCACTTAGATTTTACAAATACGTGTGCTGGGCTGTAAACAGCTCATGTATTTGTAAAATCTAAGTGATTCGTACAACATGGAATTCATATAAAACGGAATTATCAACAGTGTTATAGGGGGTCTACTGTACAGGTATACCTTGAATTACATCGTTTCGAGTTATGTCGTTCTTGATTATACATCGTTTGTCAAAAAAATATATGGAAAAATAAAAATCAAGTTTAAGTCATTTTATTCGACTTTACATCTTTCCACCACAAATATTGAAGTCATAATATCACTTGAAAAGCGTTAAAGCACATAAAATTATATTAAAATATGTACATTTACAGTAAATGTTGATATAATTATCATAAATCCTAGAGAACGAAACATGAAAAAATCTGTGTTTCTGTGTTGTCATCTTATTTAGAAGTCTTTAAGTGCTCAATATTGGTGTTTTCCACGGTAGCTCCAATATCTACCGTTTGGCATCATTGTTAGCGGCACTTGATATTGGTAAATTTAACATAAATTAGTTTATTTTCTATTGTTGCAAGATAATTTTAATAACTGTATTTGTTATTTAATGTTAAAAATCATCATATTTTATAATGTCTTAGATCAAACCACATTCACAAATAAAGAGTCCGCAATGTACTGTAAACATCACCAAATTGTAAACATGTACTGTACTGTACATTTACAAGTATGTACTGTACGTACATGAATTCGTAAATTTAGATTACTTTTTTCTGTACTATATTAAAAACTAAAATTTATTTGTTTGTAAGCTTAAAATAGATTCTTATTAACCATATATTATTAAAAATGCATTTATAAATAAAATACAGAACTGGGAATAGTTATTTGTGGTTTAGCCTAGTGACAAGTAAATACGGAGACAAGTAAATTCAACTTACGTCGTTTTTTGACTTAAGTCACCTCTCCTGGAACCAATTAATGACATAAGGCGAGGTATACCTGTATACATAGTCTTGCATTTTTATCAGTCATGTTTCTTTCCATTTGTGGAGCATTAAAGAATCTGTCATATGTTGATTGCTTTCTCTCTTCTTCAGGATATTTTGGAAGTAATTAATAGCATTGTCATTGTAGAGATCTCAAAACCTCAACCAGTTTTGGATGCCATTCTAAGACCATTGTTCTGATATCCTCCCACTTCTTCAAAAGATCTTTAATAACAGATCTCAGCATTGGTCCTCTTTCGTTTTCTTTTTCAAAAGAAAACACATCTCACTGAGTTTCTTCTGTCATCAGATCAGTTTCAGGTTGCATTATGTGCTCTTGAGTGTTCTTTGTTTCTCAGATGTGATTTTTGTTACTCCTTAGCTGCTTGAGTCTTCTTGATTATATCTTCCTTAGCTAAGATTGTGTCTACTGTAGACCTGTTCAAGCCACACTGTCTAGCAACAACAGACATATGTCCACTCTCTACCTTGGCTATTATCTCTTGCTTGGTTTCTATGGTGAGCACAGTTCTTGACACTTCACTCTTTTTAAGCTCCATAATATTATCAGTTTCTTTTTTAAATAAAAAGTTCATAAAAGCAGTTACAAAAATTCAGAGAACAAAAATCAACTAACACAAAAAAAATTATGTAAATGTGAGGCCTGGATGAAATTCAAAATTTGGTCATAAAATGTTAAGGAATATCGAACAGAACAGTTAAATGCTCACCTTTCAAAAATGAAAACTGATGCAAAACTTAACAAGTGCCCACCTGACAGTCTTGTAAAGACTATAAAAAAATTCTTTTTGAGAAAGGTAAACAAAAGGTAAACAAAACAAGGGAGAGTTTCAAAGTTCAGAGGAATAGTCAACTATCCAGTCAGTATCAGGTTGAGCATTAATGTCGATGTCTCCTGAGCTCTGAAAGGTTTTCGAATTGTCACCTGGAGACAAGAGAAGAACAACTGGTATTTTACGTTGCTTCTTCTTGTGTTTGTTCTGTGAGGTGTTCATTGTCTGAACATAAAAATCTTTTGCGAAAGTGTTCATTGTCCAATTTGTTTGCAGTCTGAACTGTTCATTAACTGATCACCCACTGTACTCCATTTTAAATACTNCATATCGTTGAGAGAATATTTTTTTTTAATTTCAGATGTTAACATGCAATAAATTTTTTTTTAAATCTTATATCATAAAATTAAATAAAATAAAATAACATAGCTGATATTACAAACTAATATTTTTAATTTTAAAAATAAAAATATTTGGAAGTGGATTATCATACAATAAAAAATTATTTTCAATTACAACTGCACCTTCAAAACAAATTGTACTTTTTTTTCTTTATTCTTTAAAAGTTAGAAAAATCACAATACTCAGTTTACCTGTAAAATTTTTAAAATTTCTCAATTCCAAAATGTTAGATATAGTTAATGAAATTTGTAATCAGTGGCATTCATGTAATGTCAGTTAAAATTTTCTAAAATCAGAGTGATTATTCTATATCAAATAATGTTATCAGTAAATTACCTTAAAATACAAACCTTAATTCTCTTTCTGCCATTTCTCTGTGATACATAAAACTATTGGTATTTAATTCATTTAAAACTTCCAGACCAAAATTTAAAATATCGTCAATCTTCATGTCAATACTACTTTTATCAATTCCAAAATTTTCAAGTTGATTTACACTACCTATATTATAAATAATTATAAGTATTTAGTTTTTATAATTAAAATATGTAATTGTTATTAAAATGATTAATTTATTAAAAAAATCATTTAAATACATATCTTTTTATTATAAATTATTTAAATATTACTTTATATATTAAATATATTTGATTTATTCTCTTTCAATTATTTTATATTTAAGTGATTTTTATGGAGTGAAATTTTTATAACAAAACATATAGTAATGTCATGAATAAGTCAAGTGGACAGAAATTATAAAAACTTTAATACTTACTTTTAATCTCTTTCCAAAGATCATTTAATTTCATAAAGATTAACTCTGCATCATCTCTTACTTCTAGAGCACTAAATATAATATTTGGTAATTTTATTCTTACAATGTCTCGCATCTGAAACATTAAAAGAGAATATTCTCAAAAATTAACAATGATTTTCTTAATTAGTTATAAATATATAGTGTTAAACTATACACAAATACATTTATCAATCTGTTCAAATGTTCATATTAGGAAGCACTTAACCAGTAATACTTAAAAAACATAAATAGAACTAAAACTGAAGAGTACTTTTGTATTTATAACATGAAATGAAATTTGTGAGTTCAAATGTATCTATACTTTTGACCTTAATAACAGTTTTTAAGTAAAGCCACTAAAAAACCAAATATCCAGCAGAGACGTTTGTAGGTGTTAATGTTTTTGTCCATGTTGAACAAACATCATCAGGGAGACTTTTCAGTCTTTAATTCAAGTATACCCAATTTTTTATTTTAAGTATACCCATACAATTTTAATTTCTTATTTAGTAATAATAGGATCAAAAGTTTAATTACAGGAAACACATATACATTACAGAATACATTTAAATACAATATAGAATAGTAGTAATACATATCGTTGAGAGAATATTTTTTTAATTGCAGATGTTAACATGCAATAAATTTTTTTTTAAATCTTATATCATAAAATTAAATAAAATAAAAAATATTATTTTAAATTTATAATGAATTTTTTAAAAATAATTTTAACTGACTGCTAAGAAATCAAGAGCAAATTAATGTAGCATTATTGTCATGTCATCATATAAAAAATTACAGCTTAGAAGTCTGTTTAATTTATGCATTATAGAAATCTTTCAATTAAAATAAATAAATCAATTTTATTATATACTAACATCACCTTGTGTACTTTAATTGGATGAGTTATTTAATTTTCATGTGATTTAAATATATGTATTTATGAAATTAAGTTATCAAACTGCTTCAATTCCATTTTCAAATGCTACAACAAATTATAATAAAATAAAATAAATAAATAATAACAGTGCCATAATTAGACAGATGCAACAGATGCAAAAGCACAGGGCCAAGGATGAAGGCAGCCCTAAAATGGAAATGACAAAAAATTGCCAATTAATAGAAAAGTCAAATAAAACATTGTGGAGGCTATAATACTTTCTAAAACACAGAGAAAGCAATATACATGTGAATAATCACCATTGGCAACATTTCTTCCATTGTGACACTAAATGAAATTCTCATGGATGAGATTAAACCAATTCCAAAAAGCCTCCTGCACTGCAGTGTCCAATATCAACTTCTTGCCTTTCAAGCTTTTCTTGAGATCCCAAAAATGGAAGTCACAGGACAACAAATTCAGACTATAGGGCAAGTAATTCAGTGCTTCCATTTTAACCATGTAAATTCATCCTTTATTCTGTGGGCAGTATAATAGAAAAAAAAATGGAAAAAGTATCTCTATGCATGGCAATGCCTTTATGAAAAACTGAGAAATGCCAACATAAATTAATTATTATTATTTTGTAATATGTGTTATATTTACATAGGATTTAATTTTATAATTCTTAAAAATACCACCAATTTTGTATATTTATATGTTTGATTTACATTGTTGTATTTTATGTTCTAATTATTTAAAAATATATTTAAAAATTTTTGAAACTGTGTGTTCTGAGCATTCCAATTTGGAATATAATGTTGACCTGATGCAGATCTTGTTTAAGATCAAAAATGCTCGTCGTGTTTTACATTAAATTTCATTACTGGATGTTAAAGGTTTTGTTGATTGTGTTTTCAAAATAAAATATATTGAAGTTAGCTTAAGATAAGAAAGAGATTCATAAGAAATGGATAAGATAGAAGTGTGAAAACCTGAGGGCCCTGGGCCTAATTTAATAATTTTTATTAAATATGTTTAATATCGACACAAAATATTACTTCATTTTTGTGAAAAACTAGTGTTTTCGACATGGGAAAAGATAGATAACAGATGCTACTTCCGTTAAGGGAAGTCCGTACATCCTCTGTTTTTCCCTTATCCGTTAAAAATCTCGCTTAGATGGTAACTATCGCCCCCTCTTTGATTCCCCTTTCATCCGCTCACATGAACGAAGTTCAAGCCGATGATTGGATGAAAATTTTGAGATATAAGGGAATTTAGTCCGAATTTGGGGAGTTCTTCGACAGATCCGAAGCGTCAAAACTCCACACAGTTTTCCTCCTGATGACCAACGCCCTTAACGGAGTCCCATAGACTAAGTCCCGAGTCTACACGTAGAAGTGATACTTTTATATTTTGTGCACGAATTGATCTCCCGTATGAAAATAATATGAACTCTATCTACAAGGTGTCCTTTACCTACAGAAACGAAGACGACGACAACTAAACAGGTCGTATGTTTTGGAATGATTTTGTGAGCTCTCTCTCTCGATCGCGCATTAGCATAGAATAAGTCGTAGCCTCTATCTTGTCGCTTAATTGTTGTTATCGATTATTTGTATTCGTTTTGTTTTCGAATTATTAAATTTACTTTTGTTAAATATACCTAATGTCTCTTCAATTGATTCCGAATCAGATCTCATACGCGTGTTAATCCGCGTATAATAAGATCGATTAACTGGTGTCAAGGAAACCTGACAGGAATCGGAACTTCGCCGTTCAGATAATTTTTTTTACGCTCTTCTATATAAACTTTTACGATCGGATCTAGAGATCCGAAACTCGGAGAACTATTCTCACGGAATAGTGCCAATTAAGTGGTACTAACGATCCTTAGTGGAGTTGTACCCCCGGCTAATCTCACAGAAGTCAGAAAATAAAAATTAAAAGACATGATCAAATTTAATAAGAGATGGTGCTTAACACCTGCCTCTAGTGACAAATTATTTAAAAATTAATTAAAAATAATCACAGAGAAATAGCCTGATTTAATAGGGCAGTCATTTTGCATATTAAAATATCGGGTTTTGTGATGTTTGTATATGAACATAATCATATACTAAGTTCTATCTTAAAGCAAAAGAAGTCTACAATAAGAATACAACAGACAGTACAGATGCACTTTTTATTATGATCAAACCCACTTAATGTCACATGTCAGTTATTGTTACAGAAATTTTTATTCCTGGCGTTAATAAATGATAGACTTTTCTCTGGTTAATGTCACTCTGCCTATTAGTACAAATTGGTTAATGTCAAAGTATTTGTATGTACTAGAGACTTACATACTCTATTTAATATCACAAAGTTTGCATCTACAAATGGCTCAGCAAAGTGTTATCAATGACATCTATTGATATGTTTTTTAATTATTAATAATTTTTTAATTTATAACAAAATATGGGATTTATAACTTTTAAACAAATATTTTAGTGCTTTTTAAATGTGAAATCTAATGATTTTCTTGTCCAAAATGCAGTTTTGAGCACACTGATGCAGTTTTCAACTTCAGAATTGGTAACATTCTTATCAAATAGAGTACATTGTAAAAATTAATTGTAAGAAGTACTGTGTAATTCCTATTATGATAAAAAAAAATAGCAGCTAATATTTTGTTTTACTTTATATGATTTTATGATTATAACAGATGTAATAAACTTTGTGCTTGATAATTATAATCTTAATTGTTTATTATATATTTAATGTGGTAAATGTAGGACATATACAACAAACCTACAATTAAAACCTTTTCATCATATCTCAAGCTCTTCTATTGAACTCCTCTTACGTCAACTCAATTTAATGTCACTATATTTTAACAATCCCAAAGATATGATATTAAACATGTTTGACTGTAATTATATTCTATAATAAGCTGAAGAAGTCTAAAATAAGAATATAATAAACAATGCATTTGCAAATGGTTGAAACTGATGTATCAGTGACATTCTATGTAATTATGTACATTTTTAAGATTGAAAGAAAATGTGAAATACCAATGTACAATAGCTGATTAAGTCCATTGTATTACATCAGGATAACAGTCAGTTGTTTTAAAGAATTGATAAACTTGGATTATATGGATATATATGGAGGAGATTTTAATCTTTTTCCATGATTAAGTGTATGACCATTAGAAGAAGTAGGAGAAAGGAGATTAGCCTTCAGTTTTCGCTTTCAGTAACAAATTTAAAACATTACCCTGAGATTTTGACACACTGTGTATTTTAACATGGGGCAAATTTGTTGTAAGCATGACAACTACATACAGAGAGCAAGAGTTGATTCTCAAATATTCTGAAAATTCATACAAGTAATAAAATTTCCAATTATATGATCCATACAAATTCCTTGAGGTTGACCTTACAGAAAATTTTATAGTCAATAGTAAAACAATTGATGTTGTGTGTTATTATTATACGCTCAGGTCCATAGCCAGAATTTGCCCTCAAGTGCTAATTCCTCAAATTTTATTTGATAATGGACATAGCTGACATCTTAACCACCTCAGACTTTTGTCCATCATTTTCCTACTGGCATTAGGTTACTATCAAAAATCAGATGGAGGCTTAAGTCCCAGGAGCCTTGCCTATGTGCCTGAATATGTTAGATTTCAAAAAGACTAAAGTAAAATATACACAAGTACAAAATATGAATATACAAGTTTTGCATATTTATCATGCATGAAATCAAAATGAAATTAGATTAAAATAGTGTTTACTTTCACTTTTACAGATACCAATACAACAAATTTCAGGAACAACAGATCAAATTCAGTACTCTGAGGTTCCATCAGAACTGCTTAGTCTTGAATTATTTACATAATCATGTTGAAAATGATGTGGTAAATGAATGACAAGACAAATATCCCAGAGTCAAAATACCATACTGGGCTTATCACTCTGCAATAATTGGCTTGTGGAATGTCCTAAAAGCAGCATATCAAAGCAGCTATTGTTTACATCTTATGTGGAGGTAAAACAGTGCTGTTTCTCTTAAATTTCTCACAATATAGGCTGTTTTGTGTTCCTTATACTACCTTATATAATTGAACACTAGCTGGGGTACCCGGCTGCACTCAGGGAGTTGATATGAGATTGTGTGGTAGTTGGAATAAAAGTATAAACTTTAAAATATAAGAGGTAAAAAAATTTTAGTGAAAACATATTCTAACTATTTACAATATTTGTTTATAAACAACATTTTGCTCAAAAACTTTTACAAATAGGCAAAGGCACATATCCCACTGACCAGACGACTGACCTCATTGAACTCAACAGTGATTTTTGCAACATAGCCACTACTGAAAACAAACTCATCGATCAAATTTATCCAAACATTGTTCACAACTATACCAATCCAGAGTGGCTATTTCAAAGGGCAATTTTGGCAACTAAAAGTAATATTGTCGATAATATCAACTTTAATATTCAAAAGAAAATTCAGAACTGGCAAGAGCTCCTCCTCTTTTAAGTTTGGGCATTGTATAAAATAAAAATCAAATCAACTTTTTATTAACAAATATACTAAGTACACTTTACACAGTTTTCACACTTTATTTTCGATTTATATTCAGTCATTGTATAACTTTGACCACTCACACGTCACTGTTTGTTTTTATTCACTCATTGCACTACTTTAGAATTTTCACTTATTTTTCGGTTCTTTCCTTCATCACTGATAAGAAACTGACGTTTGGACTCACAACGGATCTTGCTTTATATACTCCCACCAATGGGTAGTCCCACCCATACAAAAAAGGCTTTGAATGGTCCACAATGTTCCAGAACATTCCACAACATTCAAGAGTGTTCTGGAATGTTCCACAATGATCTGGGATGTTCCAGGATGTTCCTGTGAAGGTCTAAAACCCTTTTCTTTTAGATCAGTATCACCCCTCTAATAAACCTCATGATTAGGTGTAAGAGAGGAAAAGGGGGCCTTCTGTGGTTGATGACCGAGATGATCTCCTCGAAAAAAATTGTTAATATATCAATAAAAGAAATCTCCTCCATTTGTTTAACAGTAATTCTATAGACGTT